TTCAATGAAGTCTTCATCTTCACACTCAAGCCCAACATCTCTCAAGATACTCAAACCTGAAGAAATCACTTAACTGGATAAGCTAGGATATTAAACTGCTTATTGACCACCAAAGGTGACCTATAAGGGTTTAACATCAAAAGAATGGTTCCTTCAAAGGTTCTACTTCCTAGGTACAATCACTTATCCCTCCTAAGGAGGGAGGTGAATACCATGGAAGGACCTTGAATCATGGGGAAGAATGGAGGTGAAAGATACCATCCATGTTTAAGAAAGAAATTAACTAGGTCTAAGCTCTTCTTAATTCCTAACCCTAAAACAACAACAAAACAAACAAGTCCTCAAGCTCTCAAGCTCATTCTTCAATCTTCTAGTCTTCTACTATGCTCCTACATGCTCCTCAAAGCAAGACCAAGCCCACCAAGCCAAGCAAAACAAAATGCAAGCCCACAAGGGCAACACAAACAACAATCAACTACAAAAATCAATTAAAAATAGTACACTATTATATTAAAATCTAATATAATTTATAGGGGATCCTATATACCTACCCTTAATACCCTATATGTCCCAATATCTAACTTGACCTAGAAACCCAAAATTCTAGTGTTATTGTGGGCCTATGTTAAGGATTGACCTAATTCTACACAACCTAAAGTCATCTAATCAAAACTAATCAAAAATTAATCACAAAATTATGGAATAAATACAGAGGGGAGCTAAAGTCCTAATATAACTATCCTAAAAAGAATGGCCTAAAAATTCAAAGGGAACTAGCTAAACAAAATTCTACAAATCTATGCATCAACATAAAATGAATTAAAAAGCTATTAAAAGAGAAAATACACAAAAAAAACTAAAAATGCATGAAATGCAAATATTTTGATTTCATAATTTTCTAGACATTAACATGAAATAGGAGAAAAAATCCCCATGTAAAAATCATCATTTTTCTATTTAATATGATTTTTCAAAGTTTAAAATAAAATGGAGAAAAAGAAAATAAAATGGTAAATGTTTGGTGCAGATAGCAATGTTATGCAGTTCATTATGAGAATGGGCTCTAAATGGGGGTTCAGAAAGCAATGCGCGCTAGGCCCAATTTTAATCAGAAAATCAATTCAAAAATACAAAGAAAAAAGGAAAACACGCGGTGCAACAAGTAACGAAAATCAGTTCATTATCCAGATGGGCCAGGAATTGGGGTGTGCATAGCAATTAATCCACTAAAGCCCAAACGAAAGTTAAATGAAACGCAACATTTGGGGTGTCTTCAGACTTCCCTCTTCAAACGTGAGATTAAACCTCATCCACACGATCTGATCCCAGTCAATGGGTCCACTCCCCATCCAACGGCCATAGCATTGTCTTCTTCCTCCAGCCATGAAAATGGAGGGAAAGCTCCATAGTTGCAGAGCTCAAATCCCTAACTCGAACTCCATCCAAACTCAACCAAAATCCATGGTTCAAAACCCTAACCCGTTCTAAATTCATCCCTGATCACAACCATAGCCTTAGAATCAATTGAAATGCCCTCAATCTCTAAACCCGATCCAAGATCAAAACTATGCTCAAATCTCAACTCTAACCATTCTTGAAATTAAAGTGATCAATCTCTTCCTCATGCTACACTGGTCAATTCTTGCCATCATACCAAGATTATCTCTCAAGATTCAGCAAGTTATGGTGGTAAACAGAAATGGTGTCACTATCTTGAACTTCACCAAATGCTCTTAAACTTTCCAGAATTCATCTCCTACTTGTCTCTAACCATTCTAACCTAACAAATCTAACTAATTATGCTTAAATTAAGGTGTAGAAGAAAAGTTGCAAACCTGTCAAATCTTGAATACCAGATAGGTCAAAGCTTCACTTCAACCTCTCAAACTCTTCAGAATCACTCCTTGATTGATGTTAGTGCTTCTGTTTGCAAAAGATTTGATCCAAGAAGCCTGAATCTCCAAATCCGATGGTGACTTGCAGCTCCCAAAATCTAAATGATAACTCTTCAATTCTTCATGATCTTGCCTTCAATTTGGTATGCACACATTCAGTATGATCAATGGAAGGTGTTAGGATTGAAAGAATCAATGAAAATGGTGTGGAAAGTAGAAATTGATTTCAACTTGCAATGGAAGAAATTGAAATGGCAACCTCACTCCCCTCTCTAATCTCTCAGCAACCTTGCATCTGAGCAAGTTTTAATCACTATATAGGATGGTTCAGACCCATCCAGAACTTTCTGGAATCATCCAATGAGAATTTGAGATTCTCATGTCATGAGTTTTTGATTTCAATCCATCTCATGTGCCATCTTGTGTTATGCCTCTTGCATCACTTGTATCTTCTTTGAAAATATCCGTAGATGAGATGTATGATGTGTTAGGATACTTAGCTAGCTTGTGTATTGAGTTTCCTTGTGTTTTGCATATGTACCTTAATATGCAAGCAATCATTTTCCAAAGCAAGTCCATGATCTAACCCTCAAATCAAAAATATGGCTGAACCATTGTTTCTAAAATGTTTTCTAGAGTCAAAATGACCTATTACATGCCATGGTTTGGATGTGTAGCTTGGAAATTTCAATTTCCAACTTTGACTTATTTAACTTATGCCTCCATTTTAGGTCATTTTTACCATTTTGAGCTACAAGCCTTTTCAATATCTCATGACTTCCTTACTAGCCTTAAAACATCATTTTAAGCAAGTTTGATGTTGAAGATTTTTCCATTTGAAGTTTGGAAATAGGAGTTATGGCCTTATGCTTGAAATGACCTATAATCTCCAAATGACCAAAATGCCCTTGACTTGTCAAAGCCATAACTTGAGTTCTACAAATCCTATCAAGGACTTCTAGTACTCTATAGAAAGCTAAGAAGATAAGGAACAACATTCATATTGACCAAAAGTTCATAGGAACTATCCTTCTTGGGCAAAAGTTGGATGCAAGTTGGGTGACTTTCAAGGCCTCAGATTCACATACCTCAGATGACCTGTAACTTGTCAAAGTCATAACTTGAGCTCTACAAATCCTATCAAGGACTTCTAGTACTCAAATTAAAGCTAAGAGCAAGCTATACAACATTCATGTTGGGGGTAAGATGAGATGGCAATCACATCTTGAGCTAAACTTCCTTGAAGATAGGGGTCAAACTAGGGGATTTTACACTGTCAAGCCTTAGAAACCCTAGCTTGAAACTTCTCAAACTCTTCAATCATGATGAGTTAACCTTGGAATCATCCTTATAGCATCTCAATGCATCAATCCATGATCACATGGCTCTTGGATTAGGTCTCAACCCTCTCCAAATCATCAGTTGACCTAGGGTTGACCCAGTCAAACCCTAATTACACCACTCATGGCTAGGTCTCTTTAATCTTGCACAATGACCTCTCTAGGCTTCATGATGGCTTTCAAGACATCTTATAAGCTCTCTCAAAGCTTCAAGTCTATCCTCGTAGCTTCAGAATCATCTGAGGAGCTCCCCACAACTCTCAAGTTAGGAGGCACACACCCTTGGTTTCAACCACTCTCCCTGAGGATCTCTTAACTTCTCTGACAAAGATATCAACCCTTGAACCCTTGAATAACCTCCTTGGCTATCTTCAAAGTCTTAATTGGTACTCATACCTCTTGATCTCCTGCATACATGTCAATGAAATGCAAGTGATAATGCTAATGTGAATGAGATGAACCACAAGCTAGGTAAAGAAATGTTGGTCAAATTTTGGGGTGCAACACGAAGCAGAATATATAGATGCTTCTCTTTGTGCATGTCAAGCAACTTGGATGGTGAACTTGGTCGAAGAAATCACAGGGAAGAATCATGGAGCAATTACCATGAAGATAGACAACATGTCAGCTATCAACTTGGCGAAGAATCCAATAGCTCATGGTCGAAGCAAGCACGTTGAAATGAGGTTCCATTATCTTCGAGAGCAGGTAGCAGAAGGGAAGATGAAGTTGGAACACTGCAGAACTGAGAATCAGATTGCAGATATCATGACAAAGGGAGTGCAGGTCGAAGCCTTCAGAAAACTAAGAGCCATGATGAATGTAGACAGTTTAGACACAATGAATTAGGTGGTGTGTTAAATATAATTCATTGTGTAAACAGATTTGATTTGATATGATTAGATTGGATTTTAATATTTTGGGCCTTTTATGTTTTGGGCTAGTGTAAACCTAAAACTATAAATAGGGTGCCTTACTTTGTATTCAAACAATATTAGAACTGGATTCACAGTTGCAGTGTTAGTAAGTGAAGGTTCAATAAAATCAGAAATCTCACAGTTGTGGGTAACTCAATACTTTCTCATTCTTCTCTTTCTTGTGTGTTCTTCTTTTCTTTTGTTGTTCTTGATAATTACTTGTTATTACCATTACTATCATATTGTGGGTTTGTTCGTCAATCTTGAGATCGGGTTTGTTCGTCAATCTTGAGATCAAGATTGAAGGAAATTCTTCATAGGGTGTGAGGTGAATTTCCAACACAAACAATAAACTAATATAAAATACAAATTTAAATATATTTGAACAAAATCTAATTACAACAAAAATTAAATTACAAAAACAATGTCTAATAAATTTAATTTTAAGAAAGAAAATATTTTCAAATAATTTTAAAATAACGTCATTTTGTTTGAAAAAACAAAAACAAAATTTTAACTCACCGATTTTTCAAAACCACTATTTTGACGATATTTATCAATTATAGCTGATTTTCACTAATTCAACCATTTATTCAATTCAACAATCAAACGATACTACTGATAACCCCTCCGATTTCCATTTCAACGTGGCAATCTGATTCGATTTATAAAATAGTGCCATCATCCATAAATTGGATACAGTAATGTTCAACCGAAATTATTTAGTATTTTTTCTATTATTCAATGTCTTTCCATTTTTGTAGTTGTCCTATGGACACCAACTAACCAAAAAAAAAGAAATTGGGACAGAGAAAGAATTTGACTGTTGAGAGAAGAGACAATATTTGATGGCAGCCATTCATGTTCTTGTTGTGTTTCTTTCATGCATTTCAACTGCGGTGAGGTGTGAGGGTGATGATGATGACGTGTATGCTCGAGAGATTCTAAGTTCAGCCCAAAGGGAAAAAGATTGGTTGGTTTCAGTGAGAAGGAAGATTCATCAACATCCAGAATTGGCTTTCCAAGAACACAACACAAGTGCTCTAATCCGCAGTGAACTTGACAAACTTGATATACCTTATACATACCCAGTTGCCAAAACTGGTGTAGTTGCACAAATTGGTTCTGGTTCTCCTCCGATCATCGCTATTCGTGCTGATATAGATGCACTCCCCTTGCAGGTTACCCCAATTTAGCTTCTGTTGCGTGTGTTTGGTTCTAATAAGTGAATATTCGTTTTGATGTTTGGTGATGCTTGTTTAGGAGCTGGTTGAGTGGGAATACAAGAGCAAAATCGATGGCAGAATGCATGGTTGTGGACATGACGCTCATGCTACTATGCTACTTGGGGCTGCAAAGTTGCTTAATCAGCGCAAAGATAAGCTTAAGGTTCTTTTCAAATTATCTGTTTCTTTCTGCTCTTTTTTTATGTTTTTGTTTTCAATTATTAGATTAACCTTTGCTTTCTTATAACTTGGTTTTATCACTAGACTTTCCCTTTAGGACCTTAATTTTCAGAGCTTTGGTATTCTCTACTTGTTTCATCTTCTACAGCTTATTGATCAATAAATAACCTTTTTGTGTGCTTTCCTGAATACTGCCCAAAAGCTGAATTGGCTAACTATTGAGTTACTATGTTTGATTTCCCTCTAAATTAGTTAACTTTAACTCAGGGTTTAATTAGTTAATATGTTTGGTTTTCCTTTCTTGAGTTACTATTTCTTTGGTTTTCTTTGGAGGAGCCGTATGATAGAGTGTCTACAGAGATTTTGTGGAAAAATTTGAAAAAAAAAAGGGTTAGAATTACATATATCTGAACTATCCAAAATATGTCTGAAGGGGTATTAACTAGTGTGTAGACACAAGGTAAAGAGACAGACGATTTCCACATTACAATAGATTTGTATCAAGGTTCAACCCTAAACCCTTACCTTTTTACGTTAATTTTGGATGTACTCACAAAACACATCCAAGAGCTAGTACCAAGAAGCATGCTTTTCGTGACAACAGGAAACTTGCAGCTACTTATACTATATACCCGTAGGGGTATATAAATTGAAAATAAAAACTAGAAGCACCTTTCTTCTTTTTATGACAGAAAGACTATTTTTTATTTCACTCTTACTTATTCTCAAATGAGAATATAACCAAGTCTTTATATAGACTCAAAACTCTACTATTCTAGGAATTAAAATGCAATTCAATTCTTATTAATACACCATTCACCTCTAGGCTTTTCATAACTGACATCTAAAATTAAAACTCCCTTAAAATAACATTTAAGGTTTATTCAACAAATCTCCTCTGTAAACTATCTGTCATGCCTATATATTTCTTCCCTCTGTCGAAAACTTCTTTCGATAATGGTTTTGTGAAAATATCTGCTGCTTGATCCTTGCTTGCTACATGCTTCAATTCAACACTTCCTTCCTTCACATGTTCTCGAATAAAATGAAAACGAACATCGATGTGTTTGTTTCTTTCATGATTCACTGGATTCTTTGCTAACTCAATTGCTGATTTGTTGTCCACTTGTATTACTGTTGCATCTATCTGTTTTAGCTCCATTTTGCTCAACAATCTTCTAAGCCATATTGCATGACAAACACTCCAAGATGCTGCCACATATTCAGCTTCACATGTCGAAAGCGTTACTATCGGTTGCTTCTTGGAAAGCCAAGTAAATGCAGTATTTCCCATAAAGAACACATATCATGAGGTGCTTTTTCGATCGTCTATATCTCCACACCAATCGCTGTCAGAATAACCAATCAACTTGTAATCTTCTGTTCTTGAGTAAAACATTCCAAGTGACACAGTTCCTTGGATGTATCGAAGAATTCTTTTCAATGCCTTCCAATGTGTATAGACCGGCTCCTCCATGAAACGACTTACAATTCCGACACTAAGCGAAAGATCTGGCCTTGTACATGTGGAATATCGAAGACTTCCTACCAAACTTCGATATTTGCTTGATTCGACACGTTCTCCTCCATCAAATTCCGACAACTTTGCACCTAGTTCCATTGGCGTCGAAATCGAATTACAGCTTTTCATCTTATATTTTTTCAAGATTTCTTTTGCATATTTCTCCTGTGAAATAAAAATTCCCGTTTCTTCTTGTCGAACCTCCAAACTAAGGAAGAATTTCATCAGACCTAAGTCTGTCATCTCGAATTCACGTGTCATTGTGCCCTTGAATTCTTGTATCATCTGATCATTGTTACTCAAGAAAATTAGATCATCCACATAGAGAGCAACAAGTAACATATTACCTCCATTCTTCTTTACATATAGAGCATGTTCGTAGGGACATTGCTTGAAACTATTCTCTTTGAAGTATGTGTCGATGCGTGTATTCCATGCTCGTGGTGCTTGCTTCAACCCATAAAGCGCCTTCTTCAATTTTAGCACTTTTTCTTCTTTTCCGACTTTCATGTATCCGGGTGGTTGTTCGATGTAAATTTCTTCTTCGAGCACACCATTTAGAAATGCTGACTTGACATCCATTTGAAATATTGGCCATTTGAATTGAGCAGCTTGTGAGATGAGCAATCGAATTGTCTCCATTCTTGCAACGGGTGCAAATATTTCGTCATAGTCAATTCCTACTTTCTGCTTGTATCCCTTTGCAACAAGTCTTGCCTTATACCGTTCTATTTCGCCTTGAGCTTTCATCTTTTTCTTGAATACCCACTTCACACCAATGGGTTGAGTTCCTTTTGGTAATTCTGATAGTTCCCATGTGTTGTTACGTTCAATTGACTTAATCTCTTCGTTCATGGCAGTTTTCCATTTTTCGTCTCGCAATGCTTCTTCGAGGCTAATGTTTTTAGTATCTGCCAAAAGACATACAAGGTGTACCTCTTCTGTCATATCATACAAATCTTGTAGACTTCGCATTCTGGGTTGTAGAGGTTCATCTTCATTTTCAGAATCTTCAAGATCTGTTGAAATGCTTGTTGGTACAGCAACTGATGATTCTCTATCTTCGACGATGACATCTGTCGAACTGTTCCAGTCCCATTTGCTCACTTCATTTATTCGAACGTCTCTACTCACTATCACCTTCTTGCTCATGGGATCAAATAGCCTGTACCCTTTTGTTTTCTCATCATACCCAATAAATATGTACTTCTGACTTTTGTCTTCGAGCTTCGTTCTTCGTTGATCTGGTACGTGTGCATAAGCCACACTACCAAATATTTTGAGATGAGAAACTGTTGGCTTCTGTCCGCTCCATGCTTCTTGTGGTGTTTGATCTTCTAACTTCGAATGTGGACATCGATTCTGAACATAAATGGCACATTGTACCGCTTCTGCTCAGAATTCTTTCGACATATTCTTGCTCTTTAGCATTGATCAAACCATATCTAGAACTGTTCGATTCTTCCTTTCAACCACACCGTTTTGTTGAGGTGAATATGGTGCAGTTAGAAATCTCCTTATGCCCTGCTCTTCACAATAGTTCATAAAGGCTGTCGAAGTATACTCACCACCTTTGTCAGATCGAACGGCTTTGATGTGTCTGTCAGTTGCCTTCTCCACCATTACTTTGAACTTTTTGAACACCTCGAATGCTTCAGATTTTTCTTTCAAGAAATAAACCCAAGTCTTTCGTGAGAAATCATCGATAAAGGAAATGAAATACCTTTTGCCACTGAAGGATTCCGGAGTGATAGGCCCACATATGTCGGTATGAATCAGTTCGAGAATATGTTTAGCTTGATATTCCACCTTCTTTTGAAATGAGGTTCTTGCTTGTTTGCTAAGCACACATTCTTCACAAAACTCTCCCTCATAGTCCATGTCTGGTAGCCCGTGCACCATGTTCCTCTTCGCTAACCTCCTCAAACCAGCATGATGTAGATGACCAAAACGTAGATGCCATAGTGACGCTTTATCTTCGATATTTACTTGCAAACATTTTTCTCGAACACTTCTCAAGTTCAGTTTGTACATTCGATTTCTCCCCTTTTCGACTTGAGCAATCAGATGCCCTTTCTTGTCCTTCAAGTGTAATATCTGATCTTTCATGAGTATCGAATAACCTTTTTCTGTGAGTTGCCCCAAACTCAAAATATTGGTTTTTAGATCTGGTACATAATAAACTTCTTGGATTGACCCAGTCAAGTCATCCTTCTGCAAGTAACAAACTGTACCTTTGCCTTCGACCTTCACTTTCAATGCATCTCCGAAAGATACGTGACCATCTTCAATCTTTTGCAATTCTTTAAACAGATGTTTGTGACCACACATATGATTACTTGCCCCTGAGTCGAGATACCACATATTGTCATTTTTCTCGTCTACTTCCTTTTGAGTCATCAACAGAAAACCTTCATTTGCTTCGGCTTCCAAAGCTAAATTGGTTGTTTCTTCTACCAACTTTTCGACTCGACAATCTTTTGCAAGATGTCCCACTTTACCACAGTTATAGCATTTGTAGAAGTTGCAATCATTCGCATAATGACCGTACTTTTTACATTTGTAACATTCGATGTTGGAGTGGTTCGACCGACCACCTCTTTGTCCACGTCCTCTGCCACGCCAGTTTTGATGGCTTGACTGTCCTCTCTCGAAGTTGCTGCCTCGACCACTTCGACCACTGTCACGACCTCCACGACCACGTCCTCTATCTCTAAAATTTTGAGAGTAGAGTACCTTTTCATCTTTGATTGACTCCTTAGTTTTGTGTGCTTCCTCGACTGCTTCATCCTTCTTTTTCATCTTACGTTGTTCGTGTGCTTCGAGAGAACCAATGAGCTCTTCGACTGAGAGCGTTGAAAGGTCCTTCGACTCTTCTATTGCACACACAATATTCTCAATTTTGTCTGAACTATCCAAAATATGTCTGAAGGGGTATTAACTAGTGTGCAAACACAAGGTAAAGAGACAGACGATTTCCCCATTACAATAGATTTGTATCAAGGTTCAACCCTAAACCCCTACCTTTTTACGTTAATTTTGGATGTACTCACAGAACACATCCAAGAGCTAGTACCAAGAAGCATGCTTTTTGCAGATGATATAGTTCTACTTGAAGAGTCGAAGAAGGATTTAAATGAGGGGTTGGAGACGAGCTTTAAAAATGCATGCCTTTTGTTTAAGAAGAAGTAAGACAAAAAGTATATGAAATGTAAGTTCAACAAAAAGAGAAGCATTTCTAACCTATAGGTGAAAGTTGGAGAGCATATCATCTACAAGTCACGCGGTTTAAATAGAAGGGGTCCGTAATACAAAACGTTAGAGAAATAGAAGGGGATGTAAACCATCAAATTCAAACTGGGTGATTGAATTGAAGGAGGGTTGCAGGGGTTTTATGTGACACTAGGTATCGCTAAAGCTGAAGAGAAAATTTTATCGGACTGCGGTAAGCTCTGCAATGTTGTACGGGACATAATGTTGGGCGTTAAAGAATCAACACGAGAATAAAGTTTAACAGAGATGAGAATGTTGTGTTGGATGTGTGGTAAAACTAGACAGAATAAGATTAAAAATGACAATATTAAAGAAAGTGTTGGGGGTGACACCTATAGTAAAAAAGATGGTGGAAAATAAACTTAGATGGTTTGAGTACGTAGAGTGAAGACCTATAGGTTCTGTGGTAAGAAGAGTAGATTAGATGGAGAGAAGTTAAATAACTAGATAGAAGAAGATTTCGAAAAAATATAAGAGAAGTCATTAAAAAAAATCTCAAGATTAACAATTTAGATAGAAGCATGGTTCTAAATAAAACATTATGGTGAAAGTTAATCCATATAGCCGATTCCACTTACTGGGATTAAGCTTGGTTGTTGTTTTAACTAAGTTAACAAACTGTTTGTTTGGATTTTCTCTAACTATGTTAATTGCTTCGTTCATAAAAAGTTAGTGATATTTGAACTGCATCCATTGTAAAAAGTTCAGATAAAGTAGATTTGCATAAGTCCCAAGTGTATTAACCAACAATGTCCCAACCAAATCCAACTCACTAATTGTGCAGCTCTTTGTTCCTTTAGGATAAAATAAATCAATTAAATATAGATATTACTATTTTAACAATTGAATTATCTTTTGCCTAGTGTCAAATCACGGGTTCAGAAAGATGTAAGTAGATGTTTTATTCTGTTTGTGTGTTTGGTGTTCTGATTCTTACACTTGCATAACTCCTCAAAAGTTAAATATGTTGTTTGAAGATTGACCCCATACTCTTTGCTATTAATGTTAAAGGGAACTGTGAGGCTTCTATTCCAACCTGCAGAGGAGGGAGCTAAAGGTGCCTCACAAATGATAAAAGAAGGAGTTCTTCAAGATGTTGAAGCAATTTTCGCTCTTCATATTGATGCTATGACATCTACCGGAGCCATAGCATCGATTCCAGGTCCTTTTACAGCTGCTGGATGTATCTTTGAAGCAAAAATTGTAGGAGTAGGTGGCCACGCTGCATTCCCGCACTTGACTGTAGATCCCGTGCTGGCTACATCATTTGCAATATTGGCCTTGCAACAGCTTGTCTCGAGGGAAATTGATCCTCTTCACAGTCAAGTATGTGTTACTCTCGATCTTGACTTTCACTATCTAAGATTTATCCATTTAATTATCGATTTAACTATGCCAAAATTAATGTCATGGTGATATCTGATCATCATCATATATCGGCCATAGGTGCTGTCGATTACTTATGTCAAAGGAGAGAACGCGTTAAACGTGATCCCACCCTATGTTAAATTTGGAGGTACTCTAAGGAGCCAGACAACTGAAAGCATGTACCACTTCAGACAGAGATTAAAAGAGGTATATATTAGTGTAGATATCATTAGTAATTCTGTTTTACAGTCTAAATTTTAGTGCTTCTTTTTGTCCGTTCATAAGTTTCCGTCTGTGGTAACAGAAGGTTGTATTAATGCTTATGTACTTCTGCTCGATATATTTTAATAGCAGATGTTGTTGAATAATTACAGGTTATTGAAGGACAAGCAAGTGTGCATCGATGTAAAGCATATGTTGATTTCATGGAAAAATACCACACGCCATATCCTGCTGTTGTCAACGACAAAGATTTACATCTACATGTCAATAGAGTTGGCCGACTTCTGCTTGGTCCAGACAATGTCCATGAAGCAAAGAAGGTGATGGCAGGTGAAGATTTTGCGTTTTATCAAGAAGTGATTCCTGGAACATTGTTTTCCATTGGAGTCAGAAATGAGAAAGTAGGATCAGTTCACTCCCCACACTCTCCGTTTTTCTTTCTTGATGAAGAAGTTCTTTCAACCGGAGCAGCTCTCCATACAGCTGTCGCTGAGTTGTATTTAAGTGAGCATAGTATTTAGGAAAACTCTTTTTATCATTACCGATATATCACGTATGAAATTAAGATTCTGTGTATACAAGGAAAGTGTATATTTCTTCTCATACGACAGGGATCGGTAGATTACTTATTCTGCAAGAATATTTGAAATTATACTACCGGCTAAAGTGTAATTCAATAATATATCAGAATTTAATTTACTGATAGAAAACACTCAAAACAACATTTTACATGGTGCACACTACAAACAGAAAAAGCAAAATTCAAGAATATTGCATGGTTTGTGTATATTGACAGAAAACTGATGTCTACAGTTCCGTTGTGTCCATTATCTCGTTAGAATTGAAACTTGAAAGTGCGCTTCAGCCAGATCCTATTTCATTTCTTTATGAACAGTTTTGCTTAGCTTTCTAACTTAAAGTAAATAATAAAGTGGACCATGGAATCTGGTGATTGTTTCTTAACCTCAATAATATGTGACAGTGTCTCCCAACAATGCAATGCCCACATGACAGTGTGACACTGATGAGCAAATGGTTGTAAGCCAAGAGTTCTAACGATAATATCACGCGCATTCTTCCAAATTATTTTATTCAATTTTATATTTTAACGATGATGAATACTCTCATACTTAATATTAGAATTACAGTTTGACGTAACTCATCCCTACAAATGGCTGAGTATGATTGCATTTCAAATGCAACCGTCCAAATTCTTTTTTACCAAACCAAACTAACAAAAGAAGGGACCACTACACTAGGATCTGTTAATAATAGGATCCGTTAATAAGTTATCTTTTCCATGTTAAAAGCAACTCCATTTTACCCTCACATTTTACATGATGGTTGAGTCATTTCCACGTCAAGTGTACTAGTATGCATTAAACAACTCAAAAAGCTTTTCAAAACTGTTGAGAACAATCAGTGACAGTATAGAAAGAATCAAATTACAGGTCCTGGTTTTGGCTCTAATATGTGACTGAATAAGAAATTTACCAAACCAATCCATCACACTAGATAGCATGCAATTGAGGAATAGTTAATAGATAGGTAAAACTAAAGCAGACTCACAAAGATGTCCACATCAAAGATCCCCCACATATACCTTTTTTGTTGGACAACAATCAAAGATCCATACCTAAGTAGTAAGGTAATCCACAAAACTACATAATTGTCCAGGTTGTCCTAATAAAAAACTATACTTTACACACATGCCATGCATGTGTGACTCAATGACACCTCATCCCTTTCATGGAAAATCTTCTCAGTCGGTGGATAATGACACTATTATCATTTTCAAACCTCTCTTTAATTTCCTCTCTCTTTTCCCTTACATGACCTTTCTACCATTAACATCCCTCTCTTTGTCTATAAATCTAGTAACCATGCTTCAATTGTTTCCCTCCTTTCTTCCATCAACCTTAATGTTTGAAAAGAATTCCAAAAGAAATATTAAACTAAGAGTTTCTTAGTAACACAACATGTGTTGTGGAATAACAATTTAGCTTTATATGCTAATCAACCACCATACATTTTGACACCTACACTCCTACAAAACACATTTCTTATGACATAACTGCCTTCTCTATATACTTGTTCATTAACTCTCTTCTTCTTGTATGTTTAGGCCTTTTTTCTCCTCAAATAACTTCGAATACTAATTTGATTCCTATTTCTCACTCTCTCTATTCATATACCAAATGGGTGAGGAAGTGAAACAGGTAAGCCTTAGTTTTTTGCTTACATATTTTTGAGGTGATACAGCAGACTATAATTTTTCTTCTTTGAATTGGGTAGGAACCACCCAAAGAAGAGTCGAAGCCAGAGGAAACTCCGGTAGAAGAGAAGAAAGAAGAGCAACCAGAGGAGGAAAAAGAGCCTAAACCACCATCTCCATGTGTGTTGTTTGTAGACTTGCATTGTATGGGATGTGCAAAGAAAATCGAGAAATATATTATGAAAATTAGAGGTTCTTATTTGTATAATCCATCTTGTTGCTTTTGATTACTTAATCCACACTCCACATGTCATTCATTTTCATTTGTGTTTATGTTCTAACAGGAGTTGAGGGAGTGCTGATTGACATGGCTAAAAATGAAGTATTGATAAAGGGAATAGTGGAGCCTCAAGCAATCTGCAATATTATAACAAAGAAAACAAAGAGAATGTCCAAAGTTATATCTCCATTGCCTGAAGCAGAAGGAGAACCTATACCAGAAGTTGTAACTTCTCAGGTCTCACTTCTGATTCCAAAAATAAAAGCTAAACTATTTCTAATCTTGATAGTTAATGAATAATTAATTAACTGGTTTTCTGTTCCAGGTTAGTGAACCAGTTACTGTGGAACTTAATGTAAAGATGCACTGTGAGGCCTGTGCTGAGCAGCTCAAGGGCAAGATACTCAAAATGAAAGGTACCATTGAACTGAAACCGTTTTAGCAGTTAACTGTATTTTATTGAAGTGGTTATTGAAAACTGAACTGAACCATTAATGTGGTTTGGTTTAGTGCAGTTTTTATGCATGTGATGTGAAAAATGTGTATTGGTTAATTAATGTAGGAGTCCAAAAAGTAGAGACAGATCTTAGCACAGGGAAGGTTACTGTGACAGGAACCATGGACGCAAACAATTTAGTGGAATATGTCTATAGACGAACCAAAAAGCAAGCCAAAATAGTTCCACAGCCAGAACCTGAACCAGAACCAGAAAAGAAAGAAGAAGAGAAACCAGCTGAAGCAGAAGAAGCTAAACCAGAAGAAAAGAAAGAAGAGGGTGGTGAAGAAGATAGTAAGAATGAAAGTAAAGAAGTAGAGAATGGAGTTGATGATGAGGAAGGGATGATGAAGAGGATGATGTACTATAACTATTACCAACCATACTATGTGGTTGAACGAATGCCACCACCACCTCAACTGTTCAGTGATGAAAATCCAAATGCATGTTGCATTTCTTAAAATTCATCACGTTCACATTATCAAACTAGTTATTATTTTATGATATATCGTTCAGTCTTTTTATGTATGTACGATATATTACTATATATTGAATTGTTTGGACACTGTTTGGTTAATGAATTTGATATTTGGTTTATTGTTTTTACAGTCTATGAATTGAGGATGATTATTATATATGTAAATGAAATGCATGGCGTAATATAAACAAGAAAAAAATAATAATAAAGAGAGAAATGAGGCTACTTGAGTATTATAAAACAATTAGACATATTCCTGGGGAGAAATCAGGTGGGTGGGTCTGAGTTGCACGTGATGACGGGGTCCATAGAATGAAGTCTGATTCATCTGATTCTTATGTAGGCTAATAACAAGTAATGGAATGGCACCAAATCTACAAGATTTTAACTTGCCACTCTTACATTTATATCTAATATTTTTTATTCAATTTTTGAAATTCACTTACTACACATGCGAATTTAGAATTTTTTGGGATGATATCGAAAATTTCATCTGCGTTATTAGAAATTTCAAAAACAATATATATTTTTTTTTACCATAAATAATGAAATTTGTGTGATATTTTATCGTAAATTTCAAAAATTTTAGTAATTGTGAAAACATTAACTCTGGAAATTTCACAGTTTGCGGTACAAATAATCTGCAAATCCTCGAAAATTTCAAAATTTTCAATAGTTATAAAAACATTGTTTTTTTCTAAAATTTTCAGAAAAACTAGAGAAATCTTTTGTAGTTATTAATCTTTTTTCTTTTTTCCATTTTTTGCAGTGAAATACAGGAGCGGAGACGACATTATTGTCGACAAATCGACAGGTAGAGCGGCAGACTAGGATAAGGGTGTTGATGCTGAGTCTTCCCAGATATGGGTTGGACGGATGGTTCCAATCGGTTCACACCGAAAGCAGTTGGCTGAGCAGGAGCAGTTTCGTGCACCTCGTAGCACCCGACGTCAAGCGATTAGAATAGCTGAGCAATCCAGAGATGATGCTGAGAATGTTCATTCTCAGGATCTGCAGGTTTAGGATGTTCATGACCTACTAGTAGAGACAAATGCGACACATATTGTTGCTGATGAGGTGGTTGCTAATAAGGTGACAGGTGCGGTGGTTCACCCAGATGCCCCTTTTGCAGATGAGGTGGTTCATCCAGATGTCGTTATTGCAGATCCGATCCATCTGTTACTACTGACACAGAGGTTACGACTCCTTCGACCGAGCTGTCCATGCACACTGATGGAGCATTCTCGGGACGATTCATTGATTGATCGGTGCTTACCAAATATGCTGACCATGTGGCATACCAACTATGGCAGAGATAGGTATATATTTTATGTTTAACTTTAATATATTTAATATTGTGTCATGAAAGCTAATTGCTATTTTTTTTCAAATTTGTTTGTTACAAGACCGTCTCCCAATGAAGGTGAAATCGCACGAGTCAAAGTTGAAGAACTTCTCGAAGACTCTAATGCCTAAGCAGGTCGGGCGTATTGTACATGATTTTGAGCTCCTTTATTTTGTCCACTGCTCCCCCACCATGTTCGGCACTCCACTTTTTAATGTTTTTGTTGAGAGATGATACAAGGAAACATCTTCATTTCATCTTCCATTTAGAGAGATGACTATCACTCTCGATGATGTCTTCTCATTGTTTCATCTCCCCATTGCCGAAAGATTCTCCACGGCTCCTATTGTTAGCCTATCGCTTGCATGTTTCACTAGTGAACGAGATTTGGGAATTTTTTAGGAGGTCATGCTGAAGGAGTTTGAATTTAACAGGGGCGTTCAGCTTCGTATGTCTTGACTTCGGGATAGGTACGAGGAGCTTGTTGTGACACAAAGGTATGAGGTTGCCTCTAGGGTGTACATGCTACATCTAGTAGCATGTGAAGGTGAGAAAGGTACACAAGAAGAAGGGTTGAATTGTGTTTTCCATTTTCTTAGTTTGTATCTAATCAGAGTTCAGAATCTAAACTAATGTTCAGATTCTGGTTAATTCTTAGCAGCGGAATGTTAACATAAACAAATAAATAATAGCAGAACATACAAAGATTTATACTGGTTCCTCCCCTAACTGAGATTAGTTTAGTCTCGTTGCTTCATGAGAGATTTTCACTATAATCAAATCATGATTACAACCGCTTATGCATTCTGCATAAGACTTTTACAATTTCTCAGACCCAAGGTACAAGACTTCTGCTCAAGCTCCTCACTCGAGACTTCCTGCTCAGGTTCCACAAACCCAAGACTTCCTTGCTCAGGCTCTCAGCCCAAGACTTCTACGCCAAGTCACATGCAACGAGCCTCTTTGCTTGCACCTCCCAGGTCAAGACTTACTGCTCCAATTCCATGTACTGAGCATTCTTGCTCAAGCCCCTCAGGCTTAAGACATCTGCTCCATGTTCCATAAAACGACCTCTCTGCTTGCACCTCCCAGGTCAAGACTTATTGCTCCAAGTTTCACGAACCAAGCTAACATGCTCAAGTCACATTGGCTCAAGACTTTTCTGCTCAATCAATCTACTTGATTAAGACTTTCACTGCTCAAGCACATAGCAAGAGACTTACGTGGCTCAAGCATCTTGGCTCGAGACTTCCTTACTGGTATCCCAATAATACAAGACTTATACTCAATCAATCCACTTGATTAAGACTTTCACAGCTCAAGCACATAGCAAAAGACTTACGTGGCTCAAGCTTCTTGGCTCGAGACTTCCTTGTTTGTATCCCAATAATACAAGACCTTTATCTAAACTACTGAATAAGCTTAGCAGAATAGAGAACAAGGTATACAAGATACAAGTATCAGAGGCACGGGAAATCACCATAACAAATACCTAAAGTACTTAAGATTTCTAAGATATTCAATGTGTAAGAAATCTTAAGGCTTTTACAATTACAACCTACATCAGAAAAATCTGCATATACAATGAGTTGATAATTGTTAATCTTGTTACTCCTTCTTCTGGTTGATCATTGTTAAAGATTTAGTTTGAACCTTCAGCCATATTTATAGCCTTTTCAGAAACTTGTCGTTGAAGAGGTAACTTGGTCAAGAGTCTTTGTTGTTATTCCATAGTAAGAGTCGTTGGAGATAGATACACCAGAAGATCTTAATCTAATGTGTAACATGTTTAACCTTTGAGTCTTCAAGAGATTCTATACTATTAAATTCGTTGAGAGTAGATATCTATAAAGCATCTCAACCTTTCTTGGGTCTTACAATCTGTAGACTCTAGCTGACAAACTAATTTGACAACACAACTTGTTTTCTGCAGTACGAACAACTTCAGCTTTATCACCAACTCTGAATGGTACTAGAAGCCAATTTGCATTCACTAAATAATTATGTTGATTCTTCTAATGCTGAGACCTTCAGCTTCAGAGTCTTCGCCAGACATCACTTAGCAAGTGTTCTTCAGATTCTGCCACCAGAAGCTAGCAATTTAGCAACTCTCAAAGTGTGTTTAATGTAAAACAGATTCTGAAAATAATATTTGCAAGTATTAGAACCTGCACACATGTAACACACATCAAATAAACCATTGTTCTTTCAATACTTTGTTATCATCAAAACCCAAGGAAAATATGTCATGAACAAATCTTGTTCTAACAATCTCCCCCTTTTTGATAATGACAAACACAAGTATTTAAAGGACAATGTTAGGCAGTTATAATTTTCTTTGCAACATCAGGGTATGAGGTTTATAAGCCCCCTTGAGTCTAATAGTCCAAAGCAGAGTTCTGTAGACATCATACTAGATATTACTCTCAAGAAAAAGTAATTTATTTTTCTTAGTAACGTCAGAGTCTGAGGTTTGTAAGACCACCTTGAGTCAAACAGTTCCAAGATTGAGGTTTGTAAGCTCCCCCTTAGTTCCATATTTAAGAAAACTAAAAATAATATTTTAAATTCCTTTGGTAACATCAGAATACGAAGTTTGTAAGCTTCTTACAAGTCTGATAGGCTAAGATTGAAGTTTGTAAGCTCCTCCTTAGTTCTATGTACAAGAAAGTTAAAATGTATCGCCCGGGCATGATAACCATAAAAACAGAAATATAAATAACAAAATTATAAATTACCAATATGTACAACTGGATAAGTACTCAATGGGTTCAGTTTCTAATTAAATATTTACCATTATTTCTTCCCTTTTTGTCACATAAAAAAGAAAATAAAAAGAGAAGAAAAAAGAATTACAGTCATAAATGCATCATCATTATAGGATCAATTTCCAAGGAATTGAAAAACAATCGAGTAACATGGGGTCATTAAGAATTGTATAGTGCATGCCTTAAATTTTTAGTGGTCGTTAATGTTTCAAGAATCAAGCAGGATTAAATCAATCATTTGAGTTGCTCCGTAGTCATTATAAAAGCGGTTCAAACCTAGTTCATTTTCATCAACATTCATCAGAGTCATGAAAGCATCAGCTGAGAGTCATAATAAGGTAACTTAATTGAAGAATCAAGCAGGATTAAATTAATTGAAGAAAAACATGAACAAACTTTAAATTAATAATAAGGTAACTTAATACAAAGGTTCTAACAATTACAAGGCATAACTATGCAGAAATCTAACATCAGAATCTTTCATAGATAGCTTCAAACTTATCTCTCCAGATTTTAGACAAATTAACCTCTAAACTTATGATAACTCCCTACTGAACAAGTAATTCTGAAAGAAATAGTTCAAAAGGAATGAAGAAAATCTTTCCTGTGTGAAAGGAAGAAAGATTCTTTTTCAAATAGTCAAACATAACTTGAGGAAGATCAATCTGTAAGTCTGAATTAAGAAGTAGAAATAGATCTTTTTCAATAGGGTCCACAAGGTCTAAATCCTTATCCTTAGGAAGTGAGTTTGAATTTAGAATTTGATTCCAAACAACAGCATCAGGACGGAGACTTTAGACCACTGATGTATTAGATGGATCTACAAAGATATGCCAAGTAGGAAGATAGTGCTCCCAAACAAGAGTTCCT